CCCCCCCCACCTCAACAGCCCCAACGGTTGCCCATTCCCGGGAAGAGATCCGTGCCGCCCGTGGTTCAACTTCCGGTCCAGAGTCCCGACTTCCGGTCCAGGAGAGCTGGCGGGGCCCAGTGTCCCAGCGCGCGGAGTTCCTGGTGCGGGAGGGGTGGGGGTGCGGCCTACGCTACTTCCTGCGCCTGGGCAGGACTTTTGATTTCTTTGTAACATTATCAATGGGAAGCAGGGACTTCAGCTTTCAGCTGATACATTAGGACGTTCAGAAAAATCGAGATTACCGGCAGTACCACAATCGGTTGGTGTGGATCCATCTTGTCTTTTTCCAGTGCTAGAAAACCAAAACTCCTGGGGCCGGCAGGTGGCGTGGTGGTTAAAGGCGCTGGATCCCCACATTGGGGAAAGGGTCCCACGGTTCCCTTTCTCTCTCTCTTCTCTGTCCCTCTGGTCAAATTAAAAGATAATAATAAATGGGGGGGGGAGCAGCAGGTGGTGTGGTGGTTAAAGTGCTAGAACTCCCACCTGGCTGACCACAGTTTGAGCCCTGGACCTGGTGGCTTGCTTTCTTACTTTCCTTCTTTCTGTGTGTCTTTCTCTGGTCAAATTAAGGTAAATGAATGAAAAAACAAGCTTAATAATTCTTTTTTAAAAATGGAATTAAGTAAATAAATATTCTTAAAAAAAGAAACTGAAACTCCATCCTCAGCCGTGCGACCTTAGCTAACAGTAAACCGCGTTGCTCTGATTCCTCATTTGTCAATGGAGACCCCGAGGGCATCTACCTCGAATAAGTTGGAATATGACAAAATAGTGGTGCAGGGTACGCAGTAGTGCCCCTCAGCTGGGCTCCGCGAAGGCTCTCCGTGTCCACCGAAGCCAACCCGTCCTCAGTCCCAAGTCCAGCTCCAGCACTACTGAGGCCCGCATGGGCCCTGGCACAGCCCGCCTCGGCACCCCAGGAGGATCAGGGTCTTTGTGGAGTCTGGTCTAATTTTCAATGCCTCATGAAAGAAGTCAACATCAGAAATGGTGAATAGAGTGGGAACAAGCAGCGCTCCACCCCGGGCCGAGAGTGCTGAGCCGTTTGGGGGGACCCTCTGCACACGCTGTGGGCTTCGGGACGGGAGCTCCATAAATACGCGGGGTGGAAGAGGTCGGGCACAAGGGGCACGCGCAGCCTCCCGCTCACGGAAACGCTCTGCACCGCAGCCTAATCTGCAGGGACCGAGTGCAGACCCTGTTGCAGGGGGGCAGTCTAGGCGCGGGGACACCCGGGGCTGGACGTCCCTTCTTTCGATTGCAGCGACAGCCGTGCCAGCGTATGTGTACACGTTTATACGGCAGAACTGGGCAATGGCACGCTGGAAACGCGCAGCTCACTGCCCCCTCTGTTCTAACTCCACGGCACCTGTGACAAGGAAACGAATGCTAGACGGGCCATGAAGCTAGAGCTTCCCGGTAAATCCGCCTTTCTCGGGAGTTTGCATTTTCCTCATCCCAGGGCCCTCCAAATACGGAATTAGAGCCGCCAGGTTGATGTATGAAAGGGACGATTCGTGGATGTCGCCTAGTTTTCCAGGGCAGGCCTGTCAGACTCCGAATCGCACAGACAGCGGGAGACCACCTCCCAATTGCGGTCCGCACACATAAAGCAACTCCGAATGGCAGCTTCTTTCGTTCAGAAGACGCTGTAGCCTGGTCGGATTCCCGTCTTTTTAAGTTGAATATGATGGGGAAGGTGGCAGTAGGGCCATAGACGGTCCTCAGATGCGCGCGCAGCAGCGGGGAGGCAGGGAGAAGAGAGCTCACAGGCCGTGAGTTTTCTGCAGCGCGATTTGTCCCCATCGGTGACCCGTAGAGAGCTCTGGGCTGGTACCAGCCGCGCTCCTGATTGGCGGTGTACTGCGCGCCCCTGCGTGCCTGCCGCCGGCGCCGGGCAACTCGGCGGGTCGTTGCCATGTCCAGCCGAGAGTCTCGTGGACCCACCCGCGGGAAGCGAGAATCCGAGTCGCGGAGCAGCTCGAGTCGTGTCAAGCGGGAGCGCGAGCGGGATCGGGAGCGGGATCGGGATCGGGAACCCGAAGCGGCGAGCTCCCGGAGCAGCCCGGTGCGCGTAAAGCGGGAGGTCGAGCCGCCGAGCGCGCGAGAGGCCCCAGCGCCCGTTGTCCCGGCGGTGCGGGTGAAGCGGGAGCGCGAGGCCGACGAGGACTCCGAGCCTGAGCGGGAGGTGCGAGGTGCGCGGGGCCGGGTTGGGGCGGGCTGAGTTCCACCTTCACGTCTTCCTTTTTTAAAAAAACAAACAAACAAACAAAAATCCCTGCTACTTCCTTGTCTTGGAGGAGATCGAGTCCAAGCTGACTGCGTTCTAATGAAGGTAGTAGTCTTAGTAACTGGAGCCTAATGATTGCAACAACAGTTGTAGTGGTAGCTTTCCTTTATTGAATGACTAACATGGACCAGACGCTGTGATAAGCATTAATATTTTGCAGGTGTTACCGCCTTAATTTTTTTTGTACAAAACCCGTAAGGTTCTGGGTACTGCTGTCATTTCTGGAATCAGACTACTCAGTTAAGAGCCTAAGACCTGGACACCTGCATTAAGTACTGGTTAGGAACCACTTTTTTCTTTTTCTTTTTTTGGAGGTTTTTTTGCTATAGGACGAGTGCACTCTCTAGAAAGAGAGAGAGAGACAGAGAGACAGAAAGCGAGAAATCACCCCCCCAGGGAGGATGGCCACTCTGCAATCCCTTCTCCTCCATTCTTCTCTTGGGATCTTGGGCACGCACGCACACGCACCCAGTGCTAGTTTAAGCCACTGGATCCAGGACCCTAACTGTCGTCGATTACATAGGAGTCCAGTGACATAGCCATTGCACTAACTGCTGGTCCCTTAGGAACCACTTCTTAAGTGGAATAGTGTTCATTTTTTATCGGTTTTTCTGTATATTGCGGCTGCAGGTTGACTGCCTCTGCTCCAGACTGTTTTGTCAAGTACGTACCTATGGCGACCTTGGTCACCCTCCAGAGTAAAGGGGAGGCACGCTTGCAACCAGTTATAGAAGACTTGAGTTCAGTAAGCTTAAGGTTTCTCTCCTGAAAGCAACCCACTGTGTATAGGGGTTCTCTTGAGGTTGCCTTGTGGGAGTTGACTTGGGACACTGAAACCAATGCCATATTCTGGCTTCTGTTATTGCTATAATAAACTGTCCTCTGTTTCAGACCCAGTAGTCACATGTCTTCCATCAGCATGGAACTGGCAAGGTGACTCGGCTTGTAAATAGGAAATCTCAGACCCTTCACAGTTCTCGACAAGTGGTAGATTGAAGGACATACATGTACACTCTTAATTAAACTGTGCTTGTGCAGTCCGTTCAGTTTATCTTAACACCTACAAAATATTTCGTATTTCACACACTTCATGGAATTTCTTTTTATTTTTCTTTTTAGGGTTTTTGCCATAGGGTGCATGTGCTCATCAGAGAGAGACAGAGAGACTGTGAGAGAGAAGGTGAGAAATCACCCGCCAGGGAGCATGGCCACGCCACAGTCCCTTCTCCTGGGATTTTGGGCATGTATGTCCATGCGCCCAGCGTGATTTCAGGTCACCAGATCCGGGACTTGAACCGTGTCAGTCATGTGGGAGTCCAGCACCTTGACCACCAGGCCACTTGCTGGCCTCAGCTTCGTGGAGTTCCTTTGTGTACTATGCAGATAGATCTTTTGTCGATCGTGTGTGGACCAGATACATTCTCTGTGGCTTGTTCTGTTAGTAGACATTGGACGATGTTGCCTCCTGAGAAATCGGGGCTCGTCTTGATCAGCTTCCCGTTTCTGGCTTCTTTGTACTGATAGCTGACCCCGAGTTCTGGTTTCCCATTTCCAAAGCTCATGATGATTTTCCTTTCAGCAAAGAATGGCCGTGTGGATTCTGAGGACCGAAGGAGCCGCCACTGCCCGTACCTGGACACCATCAACAGGTCAGTACGCAGAGATCCCGAGGTCAGCAAAGGAACTCTGGAATCAACACAGGAAATCCCTTGAACTAAACATTGGATGTTTACGAATTTTACTCACAAATTGACAAGTTGTGGGACCAGCAGATGGCATAATGGCTACATCTCTGGAAATAAACCACATTTTTTAAAAAAATCACAGATGGAGCCAGCAAGTGGCATGATGGTGAAGGAACCGGCCTCCACATGGCTGACTGAGGATGAGTCCCAGACCCAGTGCCTTGAGACTCAGGGTGTGTGTGTGTGCACGACCAAAATCCCAAGAGGAAGATGGAGGAGAAGGGATTGCAGAGTGGCCATCTCCCTGAGGGGTGATTTCTTGCTTTCTGTCTCTCTCTGTCTTTCTGGTGAGCGCATGCACCCTATAGCAAAAACTTCTCAAAAAAAA